CACTTATTTGCTTGGCTTTTCTCAACTCAACCTTGAAATGACCTTGATACGACTTTCAAATAACCTGATACAGACAAACTGACCTTGGACTCGAGCTCAGCGACCCTAAAATCCTGTATGACATCTGGTCGGACTTAATTGCTCGGCTTTTTCTTAATTTGACCTTGAAACAGCTTTAAAATGGCCCGACACAGACAAACTAATCTCCAATTTGGACTCTGCAACCCGAAAAACCTGATCTCCGAGATACTTAGATTTAATGCACAGTTTCTCAATCTGACCTCTAATTGACCTTGACCCTGACTAGGAAGGAGGGGGAGGTCCCTTTTGGGGTGGAATGGATTAGTTATTGGATATAAATTCTAAAAAAACATTTTTTCTTTTTTTTTGGCCCCTTTTCGCTGATGTTCCGAAAATTTCCAAGAATCGCTCCACAAAGCTTCCAGCTACCCCCAATCATCATATCCTCAGCGACACCGACGAAGGCCGACGCTGTTGTCAGAACGACAACCGACGACACGTAGCTGGAATAGAAAAAGTACCCCGATTTCGAATTTCTGAAATTGAAAAGTTCTGCGAATATTACGAAATTTAAACTGAAAAACCGCAATATAAAGCTACAACAATACACGCACCTACAAGTCCACAACCTGTCTGAAGCGAAATATGAGTAAAATTCGGCTAGATCGAATGTCCATCCCCAGGCGAACTTCGTCGCAGGGCCTCTGCGGACCTATCAAGGAAAGTGTTTGAACGTCGACTTTGGTGCACAGCATGCGATACATGAGGATCTTGGTAAAAATGCCGTTTTTTCTCGTATTAAAGGTAGATATAAAGTCATTCCGTGACATTATGTTGATCTATTTGTCTTCCTGTTTCACTGGTTTTCTTTAACCACCCAGTATATAAAAAAAGTGATGAAAATCTTTGTTTAATTAAGCACATATGTAATCTAATGGCAAGTATGCATTTTATAAAGTTAAATAAATTAAGAAAAAACTGGTATAGTATTTCAGAAGTCAGTTGAACATGTATAAAAACGCCTAGCAATAAAATTTAATAGTTTCATAGGTGTCCCTAAAAAAGTTGTCTGCTAAAGGTAAAAATTATAATAATTTGTACATAATGTGTAGAAAATTTCTATTATATGCTCATTTGGCCAACAACATATTTGAATTTTATTATATTGATGGTAAATTTCGTTTTGTTCCGTTTCAAAAGGTTTCCAAAATGCCATGTTGTAATAATATTAGTAAACAGAATTAACAACAAACAAATTACTTGAATCACACCAAATTCCGCATTGCTGCACTGCACTGCTAGGCAATTTGTCAACCACTTGTCAAAAACTGAGATTTATTACCCAGTCGCCCAATGCAGCTGTGTTATGGCGGTTTTCCACTAAACGGACAGTTGAGTTTATGCCCTGTTTGTGTTTTCTAGAACAAAACAAAAACAAAACTGAAACAAACCCAAAACTCTTGTTTCCATCAAGCGGGCTATATTTTGTTCGAGTTTTGTTTTTGTTTTCAGTCCTTTTCCACTGGTTGTCGCGAGGAAGTCAGAACACATTTTTTCAATAACCAGCCAACATGTTTGGAGAAGATTTTTTTATTCTTAGTTATGGCCGGTTTATACTGAAGTCCTTGGAAAAAAAAGTGTGTCTACAGAGTGTCCCACCTCGAACTCCATCGATGGATATCTGTGAAACCGCTCTGATTTTTTTTTTTTTAAATTGTGATGGTGTGATACGGACCGAGGGGCCCACCAAGTTAAAATATTTTCAAGGTCATCGTACTTCCGGTTACACCAGTTTATTTTTTTGTGCAAATTGGACATTTTGTAGAGAAAGACCAACTTTATTGAATTTGACATGAAAATTTTCCAATTTAATACAGGGTGGTCAAAAAAAAAATTATCGAATATGAAGTTCAGAATATGTGGAAAACTCGAAATTTTTAAATGGAAACCCCTAATTGTTTTGCAATAATATACAGGGGGTTTCATTTAAAATAAGAAAGTTAGTATCAACTTCCGGTATCACTTTCCAGCATGCGTCGCAAAACAGTGAAATAAAAATGCCCTGTATACTTCCTCTTACATTTTACACGAGCCATTATAGTTTCCTGACAAGTTCCAAAAGGAAGTCTTGACGACCATATCGAAAATTTTAAATTGCTCCATCCACAAACCGGATATGTGCGTATGGTACTAGGCGAACCTAACGGGGGCAATAAAACCGATCATTTATTTTCATTCCCCAACACAGCACAAGATTGTTATTTATTTACGAGGCTGTTTACTTATTTTAAAGTACGCTGGAAACAATGTTGCCCGACGTTACCAGCACGCTTTATAGTTCCGTTGACACCCATCAGTTGCAAATTATCTCCAATTAAACGTTTCTGTAAACGTTAGAAAATATTCTAAATTTACGCCGGGATCAGCTACGACTCTCCTCCGTCTCAATAAAACTGATATTGCGATGAAAAGCGTTTATAAATACATCGAGCATCGACTAAAATAGAGCCGGGAATTGTTTATTTATGTAGAGGTCTTACACTTGGTAATAAAATCGTTTATAATGTAAGAAACAGTTGACTTAGTCGTAAATTATTGTGCGGCGATGACGCAGATCCAATGAGCACCATAAGAAAAAAGTAAAAACACACAGACGATGAGTAAAGAACAGAAATTAAGGGATCAGGAGAGGGATAAAAAATGACATGAGAAAAATGGTATAAATCAGATGAATCAACTGTTGTAGTAAAAATGGAGAGAAAGAACGCACATAAAGTAAATATTGAAGAAGACAAAAGAAAAACCACTTTCAAATAATATAATAATTACAAATGTTTAAGTAAGTGAATCAAAAATTTGTTTTCCAAATTTTTGCTTGTCTTTAAAAAGGTGTATGGAGTTCAATCATTTTTTTTTGGTAATTTCACCGTAAAACTCTTTTAGATAATTTAATTTGAGCGGTTCCGGAGCCCCATACGATGATTTGTCTCTTAGTTATCGTCGATCAAAGCAAAAAAGTAATTTTTGAATTTGGCAATCAATTACTCGGGAAATAATGATCATACAGAAAATCCAAGTAGGGTTTTGAAAACTGCAAAGTATTTTCCACAAGTCGTAATTATTGGTTTTTAATAAAAAAAACTGCGAAGTCAAAATTGGAAAAAAGGTGAAAAACTGCTTAATTAGTGATATCTGAATAAATTGGTATAACTTTGCTAATAACAGATAAACTAAGAATATTGACTGTAGCTTTTCAACCTCAAAGTGTCCTAAAGAAACCCTGATAGTTTCAAAGCGCTGCCATTTCCTAGTGCCCGAATTGTTTTTTGTCGTTTTTCCTGAAAATCAATGTAACGAGTAATTTTTCAATTGTTGCTCATTTTTTTGTTGAAAATGTTTTTAGCAATAATCCATATTTTCTTTATTAAAAAACTTTAATTATTTAAAAAAATGACTTTTTTGCGAAAAATTTTTATTTAGGTAAACACATGTAGTTATTTAATGAAAGTTTTATGTTACCTATATATTTACTACAAGATCAATTTGGTGAAGCAAGACGTAAGCACTAATTGCAGCATTTTAAATGTTAATTTTAAAAATACATAGGTATATTACAATAGACAAATAACAAAAATATTAAATTTGAAGTAAGATACGTATTTTTGAGTAAATATACTTGAATGAAGTAAAATACTTTCCAGTAGTAATGATTTTCAAAACTCTGACTTGATTACTGCAAACCGCAACGCTCGTTTCGAAAATCATGTGGACAATTTAGCACTTAGTCACAGCTAAATGTGTACATTACATTACATGTGAATACAGTACATGGATAGTAGGCATTTCTAAAAACATTTTTATGTAGATATTTCAAAATTTATATGCTTATTTAACTCTTTCTTTCGAGTTCACATAAAGTTATAGTTTAGTAGTTCTGTGTAACATCGGCAACACTGGGTAGTTTATCTCCCTTTCAGAATAGTCAAATTATGTTACGCATAAATAATATCACATTGAGGTCAGTGGTTCCCAACAAGTTATTTATACATTCAATTTATTTTAAATTTGTCTTTATTGCAATTTTTTTCCTAAAAAAATAAACTAAATTACATGTTCTACATAGAAAACTGCACTTATCGCTGTCTAAAATACTACCTAGTACACATTTACGATTCACTCTGTATAAAATACGAAAGGTTGCTGAATTTGCCTTAATAAATAAATTTCATGTTCNTTAAGGGATGATTTCAGAAATTTGAAAAACCATAAGCAGGAAAATGAACGAATTTTATATATTTTTTTCAACCTACTCTAAGAAATGTAAACTATCTTTTCAGAGAAATAGATATATTTTTTAATTTTAATAAAAAGTTATAACAGTTTCACAAAGTGAACGTTTTTTATCTTTATCCTCAAACAAAATTTTGAAAGCAACTTTTCTTATTTTAAATAGTCAATCGAATGGCATAGAAAAAAATCCTTTTAGTGTTAAATTATATTAAAAAATTGAAATTGTATAACTTTTTTATTAAAAGTTAAAAAATATATCTATTTCTCCGAAAAGAAAGTTTACATTTTTTAGAGTAGAATGAAAACAAAAATTATAAAATTCATTCATTTTTCTGCTTGTTATGATTTCTTAAATTTCTGAAATCATCCCTTAACTTCTAGTATCCCTAACNCTACCTAGTACACATTTACGATTCACTCTGTATAAAATACGAAAGGTTGCTGAATTTGCCTTAATAAATAAATTTCATGTTCACCGATACATGTAGGAATTTCTAGTTATCTTTGAATACGGAAACCCTTATCATATTCGTAAAAAAGCTTGTCACATATTTAACATCCTTTGGAAAATTATGAAAATGATTCTACACGGTGAAATTCCTCAAACATTCAAGACGTCATTAAAATGTGTGTACAAATAAAAAAATATACAGTACCGACCAATAAATAATTGTACTATTTGCACTAACCTGATCACAGATAATATCCCATTTTTTTTCGTAGTCGTAACTCTTCAGTAGTTTCGCTTTGTCTGGTGGGAGGTCCATAGAAGCCTGGAAAAAAAAAGGAGAAATTAATATCAAGAAAGAATAATTAAGGTTAAATCGTTATTGTTTTTTATCAAATCAAAGAAAATCTGTCAATGCACTTCAAAATATATAAAAAGTGTAGATTCAGATCATCGTCAAATGTTCATTGCAGTTCTATTAGGTTTGTTCATCGCCATATTTAACAAACATGACCTATATAAACTTCGAAATAATTTATTGAAGGGAAGTAGCTTACATAATAAGCATTTTCAATAATAAAAATAGTTAAATCTGCAAAATGGGCTTAATATTAATAATAATCAAAATTTATTAAAACTTATTGAGAACCTCTGGAATCGTTCCCGATTTACATACTACATAAAAAGAGGTAAATAGTGAATGTAAATGGCATGTCGTTCCCTTTTTTGATTCCTGTTTTTTTTTATAGTACAGAAGAATGCTGTGTAATCACTTCTACTTTAATTTTATTCCGAAGACGTGTGTCTTTTATTGTAAGTAAAGTCATTAATTTTTCTCGGTTCTTACTTTTAGCTGCTTATATTTATGTATAGTGATTTTAAAATAGGCATGCACCAACACTTGCAACTAGAAGCAGAGCTATCGGTGTAGTCAGTAGTTCCAAAAAGTTTTCGTTATATCAACGTGGTAAGTTATTAGATGTTAAACAAAATTTGTAAACATACCGCGTAGGTGTCTCATGTTTTGCTTTCGAGATTACTTCCGCCGACAAACAAATTCTGGCCAGGATTTGTTTGTACCACCAAACTAAGCTCGAAACAAGAGCACGAAACATTAACAACGTTAAATATACTTTTTTTTATATGGTCACTGCAGTTCTAACTAAAATGGGCTGTACAACAAACATCTTTGGAATGTCCGTACCCCTACAGCCGGAAATAATCAAGAAGTAACGTCGTCTTAGTAAACGCAGAGTAAATAAAATTTACGACGCCATTATTTTGCTGCCATAGTAAAGATGCCAGTGTTATCCCTTTATGATTTTCAAGAATATGTAGTTGTAAAGTTAATCACTGAAATTTGTGCCGCGTTCAGAATAATCGTTCAGCACAAGCAAATGTAAAAGTGTAAGAGAAAATAAGAATTACGTTTCGTTTCATATTTATTATATCAAATAATATTGACAATGAAAGAAAAACAGCTGAAGCAATAAAATATTCAATAAAACGAACTTGTCTAAATCTCTCATATACGAGGTGTGTTCAGAAAATAACTGGCCTTTATTTTTTAAACTTTATTATTGGTCCTTATCTCCTTCAAAGTTCTTCCTTTCCCTATTCACAAATTTTTTCCAGAGGTGTTTCCATTTGGCGAATCAGTCCTGGATAGCTTCAGAGCATCATCTCCGTAAGCTTGTTTCAAAAGTAGAAACGTTTCTGTGAAAGTTTTCCCGAGTTTCACGCAAAATTTTACGTTGCATCGTTGTTCCAGCATATTTCAAAAATGGTCACTAACACTTAAACATGTTGCACTCAAATACCAACATCAAGAAAACTAAATGAGATATCAACAATCCAAGGACATGTGGTTGCAAAGGAGGTTATGCGCAACGCAATGCTGCCAACCGCATATCACTAAATAAATATTTCAAAAAGTTCGGTTATTTTCTGAACAAGCCTCGTATGAGATGATTGCCTCTGACACTGAATTTTTTGGGGTTGTTTGGTAACATTTCAAACTGAGTTACGAGACGTCTTTTTCCGTTGTTTACTACTCCCTTCGGTCTATAAAAAGGATATAAACCACATTTTATTGACAAATATGTCCTCCTTCCACATTTCCAATCAAATAAACATTCCACATTTCCAATCAAATAAACATAACTTTGTGAAGATGGAATTGTGTTATTTACAGTTGGGTACGCAAGCTGCTCCAGAAAAACGTCTTATATAGGGTGAGTTTTGAATACCAATATTTTAAACCAATTTACAGAATAGAAAATTGTTTTTATTTGATCAAAAAAAACGAATAACATGTTAAATGTTGAAATATGCATTTTTTTATAGAAAACTTTTCGAGAACTGATGCTTAACTATTTTGAAAGGGATATGAACTATGCAGTATTGCCGGTGCTATACAAATTTTTTTATTTGAAACAGAAGAAAAGAATTATATTAAACATTTTTTGATCATATCATATAGACATTTTAAAATACCTCCATTAAATTGTTTATGGCAATATTACGTGTGTTCTATAATTCAAATATAACTTCTAAAGTCAATGTACAACTGTTCACGTGATTTTCAGGACGAGTGTTGTGGTTAACAAGTTAGTGCTTTGAAAATCACTCTTCTTGTTGGAAGTGTTTTATTCCATTTAAAGGATATTTGTATCGAGCGTTCAAATAAAAACGTGGTCAAGTTGGTTCTGAAAATTTGGACGTAGGGCGTAGCGTATAGCAAATGAACTTAACGTCATCTGTCAAAGCGCTATATCACCGCTATCAATTTGAATATTTTCGTTTTAAAAAGCGTTTAAAATGGTGTTTTCTCAAGAACAAAAAGTGTTTATCATAGAGTCCTACTTTAGAAATGGACGCAAGATTGATGGAATATGGAAGTATTCTATTGAGGAATGTTTCATAGAATTTCAAAATCAATTTCCCGGCGTTGTTGAGTACAAAA